GAAAAAAACTTTGAGAGGTTTGTGAGATGTGAAAAAAATATGAAGAAACAAGAGGAAAAAAAAGTGAGCACAAAAGGCTTGTATGAAGGATCATTTTCATTATCTATTTTATTTATTTAAAAGGCTCAATGTGGAAACAGTAAGTTTTTAAATTTTAAATTTGTAAAGAATATTCAAGAAAGGTTCAATGGGCAAGTTTGTAAAAACCTGGCTTCTTAGCTGAGTTTTGTTTGGTTTTTTTGTTTGGTCATATATATAGTTTTGAGAAAAATAAGCTAAAGTTTGGAAAGAGAAATGTAACATTTTCAATGATGCAACTGCAGTGTCTGTGTTGTGCCAATCAAACTATCAAATCTGGAGCTTCAACTTATTTCTTATTTTTCTCTTGACCAATTGTTGTAGACATGCTTAGATAGTGTATCTAGAGAAAGGCTTCTTCAATAATATTCTTTTGTCTACACAAAGCCTACACAAACAGCACGGTAGTTCTTCTACTCTATTTCAGAAGGAGAATCCAACTAAATTTGCAATCAAACCTGATTTATTTCACATCCTTGGATATATCTCATGGCTGCAGATTTGGGGGTGGGGGTGTAAGTAAAAATGATATTTGTAATATCTCTGTAATATTAGAAGAAACGTAAATGATTGTCTCTAAAATTTCAAAGGTTGGCAAAAATGGAATTCCCTAATTATATGAAACGATCAAATGCTATGCCAACATTTGATAACCATAACCATGCTATGTTCTTCTATTAAATTTGTTTCTTAATAAAAGGAAGCTGGTACTGAAGAACTATCTTTTTAGATCTAACTGTGTCCTTTTACATCATGGGAGTCACCATATTTTGTGGTTATATGGGATCATATTCTCACACAAGAGATTTATATGGTCTTTCTTTTCCAACAGTTAAAATTTCAGTGAAATGATGCCAAACATGACTGTCATCACAGATTTCTTACTTATGGGATTTTCTGAGCAATGGGAGTTCCAGATTTTGCACTTTGTGGTCTTCCTCATGATGTATCTGGCTATCCTGATGGGAAATCTTCTCCTCATCATTCTGGTAGTACTGAACAGCCATCTTCAGACACCAATGTATTTCTTTCTGGTCAATTTAGCAATTGTTGACCTGGGATCCACCTCTGTCACCATTCCCAGGTCAATGGCCAGTGCCCTCAAGAATACAAGAATGATTTCATATTCTGAATGTGTTGCACAAATGTTCTTCTTTGTCTTCTTCCTGTCATCAGACATTTTCCTTCTCACTGCTCTGGCCTATGACAGATATGTCGCTATCTGCCACCCTCTACACTATATGTCTATGATGAACTGGGGAAGCTGCTTCCAGATGGCAGGTGGTGCATGGATGCTAGGCTTTCTTAATGCTGCCATTCATGCAGGAACCCTCTTTTCATTGCCTTTCTGCTCCAAAGTCATCCATCAGTTCTTCTGTGAAATCCCACACCTCATCAAGATCTCCTGCTTTGATCCCAAATTCAGTGAAATCTGGGCTCTTCTCTTTAGTACTTTGGTTGGTGTTGTTTGTTTTATCTTAATTATCATGTCCTATGTAAAAATCTTTCAGACAGTATTGAACATGTCCTCAATGACAAGCAGGCAAAAGG